CAAAAACCACTTTTATGGCATAAAAGTGGCATACCGAACAGGCTCTTAGTCTAACTTATATTCACAATATCTTGTCATTAACTATATCTAAGATGACAGTCATGTATTCAAGTAACAAAAAAAAAAACAACCTTGAGCTTTCCAAATGCCGGTATTTCCATAAGAACTCGGTTTTTTTATTCTATAGAATTCTTCATTTTCAATGAAAACTTGGTTTTTTTATTCTGTTATGCCAAACAGGACCTAAGTTGTGGTTGTAGTCTGGTGCAAAATAGATGTCAAACAATTAGGAGGGGAGGTTAGCCTGAATGGTAAATATTTAGGGCTGATTGCTTAATGTTGATCATTAGTCATATGACTAGATCCGATATTTTACGTTCTAGAGTGGGATTAGTTTCCTACAAAAATAAAAAAACACCAAACCATGAATTCTCCTTTACTCACCATGTCCGTGATACCCACTGCTGAATCTGCGGTTGAGAAATATCTTTAGAGAAAAGGTCAGTGGGGTATAGATTCCGAGCACAGTTTGAAGTATCATACCATCTTTACTTTTCCATTTTCCTAACTGCTCTTTTTTTTCCTCTTTCTTATCTTGTTGGTCCAGGGCACGGAAACTAACTGGGATCTGGAATAACTGAGAAGACCCCACGAGGTTTTACGGCCTGTGTTTTTGTTGTTATAAAAGTAGGGTCTATATCATAGTTCCCCCATATCCGCTAGCAACTTGTCTATCCATGGGAATATCTACCTACCTCAGTATGAACGTCCACATAGAAACCGAAGGACGGTCGCAAATATAAAAAGCTCTAGCTTCCAAGATATCTTTCGAGAATTTCACTCTATTCTCGTTCCCAATCGGTGGGCGTTTGTGGTCCAAGATATCACTGCCACGTGAACAATCCACCGATTGAGATCCTATGACTGGTCCACCTAGTACGACCCGCGCCAGCTAACCCCCCACATGAAAACCCTCACGGAAAACTAATTAAATTAGAAAGTGAAGCCAATCCATGCGTTAAATAGAAAAAACAAGTTCGATGTTTTAATTCAGCCTCAAGCATTCTACGCCGCGGGTTTTTACTACCCCCATTAGGGTAGCCTGTATCAAGTGCCCTACTTGAAAACCAATTCACCGAAAACGCAAACACCCAACATAACTCTATCAAAAATTCAAGATACCACTTCCCTCCAGGTACTTAAGCCGACCAATCAAGCGCCTTAGCCTTCCTCCCTCCAGAACAAATTCTCCCAACACCCATTCCTGCTATTACACGATACTACCAATCTCCATACAGACCAAAACACAACCCACAACACCTACCCCCAGCAAACCACAAAACCACAAAACCAGACAGGCCATCCCAAAAATGTCCACCACAACCCCCTACCGCGCCATCAGAAAAGCGCTCCCAAAAACTATCGCCTCAACCGGCCTCCCCCAAGAGGAATACAACCATCTCCGCGAGCACCTAAAATCCGTGATAATCCCAGGCTCCGCCGGCTTCGACGGGTACGGCCCCGGCATGCAAAACAAGGTTCAATTCCTGGAGTGGTTTGGCGCCCTGATGGATAGTATTGGGCCGATTTACTGGCCACCCGGCCGCCGAAGTGGGGGCATGTCGTGGCCGAAAGATCGAGCTGAGTTAGTACCCTTCTAATATCCCTTGCTTTGTTTTGTTTCTTCAATTTCCTTGAGAGGGAGGGAGGGAGGAATGACGCTAATATATTGAATGCATATCACAGGATTTCGGATCTGATTCTTAAGGTCGTGATATACATGGGCAAGGTACGTCGCCGTGGAGGAAAAGAGGAACATGTCGACGTTGCTGCGCTCAGGGGAGTTGCGGGAGCGGTTGAGAGAATTAATGTTTGGCATGAGGAGAAGGGGGCGCTGGATGTTGCGGAGAGTCTTTGGGTATGTAAAAAGGGTTTTACTCTACTCCAGCCATCTTCTATCGGTGATGCTAATATTTGGGGACCTTTAGGACCAGATGGTTCTACCACTTTCACCGGAAGGGGAAGTCGTAGACGGGGAAGACTGGGAGCAGTTTGTCAGGTGGGAGATGTGTGAGCAGGAGCAAGGGGATGCGTGAATTGATCCATTCCTGTTGTCAGTCGAGTAATCTGAGGTGCTTGGACGATTATTGTTAGGGTTTAGCAAGTATAGACATCTTTTCTCTCCGGTTTTGCTTCTGATTCTCCTTTACCTGTTCTAGGTACTTGCGACAGTAGCTTTAATACATTCATAAATTGCACTAGACCCGATGAAAGGTTTAAGCCAGTTCATACCAATAGTGATTTCTCTCTATTTCTCTCTATAGTGCGGCAGATTAGACACTATCAGGCGCAGATAGAAGGAAACATCCTTGGCGCTCGCACGGCAGTGAGACACTGAAATCTTGGTACCATACAGCGCGCTACCAGAGCGCTGCCCCACTTTACAACCACTAAATATACTAACCATAGAACAGCCTCCTAGGGACTGTGTACAGTACCAGCTGGAGAAAAAGCACCCCATATTTCGCTCTGCCCTTTGTGAAGAAAGTAAGTCGTCGTCTACCGGCTATTGTGCCGAGGACTTTGAACCCTCCCGTGTTCTCTATATTAGCGTATTATCTCCAACTAGGGCGCCATACAACCGAATGACTATCCATGACTGGGAGAATTCCAAATAAACTCTGAAAATTCTCAATGCAACCAAGGCCTTCCTATAATATTACGCTAAAAAATATTTTTTACAGTCGTAGACAGAATGCCACACGTTTGGCGGCCTCGGTTAAGTAACGAACCTAGCAAGTTTATCCCGCAAAATATCTCCCAAACGGCCCAAAGCAGGTGGATGAGGACCCACCAGATGCAATTCTCTCCCCGAAAAGATCTAAAATTCCTTTCTAACGTTGATACTCATGTAACATTTCACGCTCAACCCATACGAAATTCTGCCAACTCCCGCGCCCAGATATGATAACTCCTATTCTATGACTCAATCGCCAAGGGCCGATCCTAGGTATTATTGCCCTCGCTCTAAGCCCTCATTCTGAATCCTTATTCTAAACTCTGTAGCTTGGTATAAAATTCCAACCAAGGATCCAGTCCATGCTTTCCCTTGCCTCCCTCCTCCCTTCGCCTTCCCTCCCATAAGCGCGGAGACAGTCCTCCTCCTCCATCATCGGTTTACGAATTTACCCTTACTACCAGCCCAGCTTTCCTCCAGAAGGAAGGCATCATATCATACTATCAAAATTGTGAGACCTCTGCCCCACAACCACCCCCACAACCTAACACCTCCCACGAACCCAGAAATTCAAAATGCCCAACCCCCCAAATCAAGACGGGTTGTTTGCCTACTTCCCCCCGCCGCCTCCTCACCATACCGCCATCCACCGTTTCCACCAGTCCGGTTTCAATCCTTCTCACAGGCGCAAACATGGGCATCGGACTCGTTGTAGCGGAAATCCTCCTCTCTTGCCGGGGCCTAAAAAACCCACTACTAACGACCCGAAGCAAGGAAAAGTCTGTGCACACCAAACAGCACCAAGATCGAGATCTTCCAAATGGACCTAACGGACCACGACTCCGTCATTGAGCTACTCAGGGGTTTTGAACGCCAGGAACGATAGTAGTCCCAGACCCGTCAACACTGTGCACAATCTTGAGCGCTGGCTGGACAATGAACATTTACGTGGTCGGGCATGGCGGGTCCGAGCTCACCTTGCATGTGAACTACACCTCCACTGCTCTGCTCTCTCTGCTCCTACTAAACCTGTGTTTTTTTAGTGGGCAAGAGCTTCTTCGCCCTCTCGCCTGTCTATTTGCTCCTCCGACGGGCGCTACTTCGGTACCCCACCCTCCACCCTATGCAATAGTAGCACCGGCATCCTTGGCTACCCCAACGAGCGCAGTAACCTCGCTTCCAACAGTGATTACCTCGCCTCCAAGCTCCTCGGCACCCTCTTCGGTCGCGCGCTCAGCGAGAAACTCGATTCTGCCGAAACCCTCATCAACATGACCAACCCGGGGATCGCCAGGACCAAGCTCTTCCGTGATCACGAGTGGTGGTCCTGCCTCCTTACGTGGCTTTTTGGAATGGGCGTTGGCCTCGCAGCTAGGGTTGTGATTCAGGATGCCTGGGGCGACGACGGTGTCGTGCATCGCGGGTTTTACTCCGAGGGGAAGGATACCCAGCCGTTGTCCGAGTTGTTCACCAAGCAGGGGAGGGGTTGCAGGAGAAGCTTTGGTGTAAGACCATGGATTTTCTGAGGGCAGAGCATGAGGATATTACGTTTGACCTTATTCAGGTCCATAACGATGAGCTAAAGATGATGACAGGAGCACTTCTGAGGGAACGGGATGAGAAGGCGACCTACTGAGTGGATGACAGACCTGGTGGTTCAGAGTGATAAGTTAGCTCTGCCGTTTACCCCCGTAGATCTCCTATACATGTATAGTCTGCCCCTGTATACTCAGCTACTACCCCCACAGACAAAGTCTACATATAGATTAGCCATATTTCCTAAAATCTCTACCTTTCACAAAGTAGCTCACAAAAATTCCCGGACATCACATAAATCAAAACTCCTTTCGTAGCCACTAACTTATGTTACCCACTTTTCTCCCCCATACCCACGATCTCCCTCCGGTGGCAGTTTGCAGGCTCAAGAACTGCGAAATTAGGCATTAAGAGGGAAGATCGATCTTACGGAATCACAAGTCCTCACTCGGGCGCGTCGCAGGTGACAAATAATAGATAGGATGGCCGCTGAGTTATACTGTACTACTACGCTCCCGACATCGGTGTCCATGGGCTAAAATGACCATATCCACTACCAATAATAAGATCTGATGGTGCCCCCTCAATCCACGGTGAGACGAGGGGACAAAAAAAATACACGAGGAAAAAATAGACCAATTTAAGGAATAAATTCTTAATGCTGCTCCCTGTTCGCCAATCCTTACACTCCACTACCATTGTCAAGCACAAGAAAAAAACCTTTGTAGAGAAGAAAAGGCTCTCCTTTGATTATCAATGATTCATTATCCCAACCATAAACATGTGTAAAAACGAGAAAATGTGAAAGGAAAAAGAAAGAAAAAGATAGAAAAAAACCGAGAAACCTAATGATGAAAGCGTGATAATAGCCATGGTAAAACCAAAAAAAAAAAAAGAAAACACTAAAAACACTAAAAACAAAACTGGGAGAAATGGGGTGAAAAACAAATCAAAAAGCTCCAATGAAAGGGTTTACAGTTTCCCATGCCTCGCTCTAAACACAGCGACCTTATCGTCGTAAAACAATATCTCCCTCAAACGCACTCTAGCACCTTTGTCCGTCGATTTACCAGTCCAATCTTCATCATCAGAAAGATATTTATCACCAGCAACTTCATCAGTGTCAGTTTCGTCTCCGTCCTCTCCGTCCTCTTCGTCGTCGTCGTCCTCCTCCTCAGCGTCACTATCCTCATCTTCACTATTGATTGCTATAGGAACTACCGTCATACCAATTGGCGGGGATCCCGGCACACCAGTAGCGCCAGGTGGCGCGTGCTGCGCTGTCGTTGAGTGAATGTCGGGTTCTGTTTCTGGATCGTCTGGCCCGCCGTCTTCCAGGAGTTCAAAACATTTGTTTAGGACGCCAACATAACAAAGTTCAACCTCTGGGCGGAGGATGACAGTGTTGACAATCTGTTGGGCCATTTCCTTGCTCTCAAAGTCCGAAATATGTGGACCATGGCGAACGTAGTGAATATAGAGAGATCGGAGTTGTGGCATAAGAGGAAGGCGGGTTAAAAAGTAATGCTATAATAGGTCAGAGATCTGAAACCACAGTGGTCATTTGGAAAACATACCCAGTTCTTCCACTCTATCGCCATCCCCAACTCCCGGAGATTTGGCATCTTCCCACTGCTGACGAACGCTATAACTTCCTTATCAAAAATCCACTTTGAGGCATTTTCGCCTCCAAGCCCAACATTGCTATCAATTAATAGCTTTCTCAAGCTACCCTTATGTCGCCTCATCGCAGACTTGTAGATGTGTTCCATTGGTACCACACTGGAATAGTTGGGTATCTCCTGCAAGAAGAGCACCTCTAAAGAATTCGGAGGCAGAGTTTCCCTGATGAAAGCAAGCAATGCCCCGGTGACTGTGTCTGTATGAAGCTTTTTGAGCCGAATCCTGTACTCTGGCGCATGCCCGACTGGATTACTGGGACGACGTAGGTAGCCGGGCTTGTTGATGCCAATATTCGTAGGTGCCATCGAGGAGCCATGGTTGGGATGCGGCGAGAATCTATGGCGAAGAGCCCTCCAAAAGCGATCATGATCATGGCAACCAAGAATAGTCAAGTTCGATAAAGTTGTCCAATCGATTGCCTTTGTCAGCACCCGAATTGATAGCGGCACTCTCTCAAGCTCTAATGTCTCCAACGTCAGTTGAAGTGCTGGCTTCGTTTCCTCAATTTCAATTGGTTTCATTGGCCTTGGCTTTGGAGCCGAAGGCCCTACTGTTGGCGCAAGAGTAATTGGAGACGCATTTGAAAACAAAGGCTCAGAAGCCTGGCCTGTTGGCGGTATTGGCGAAGGCACTTGAGGGATATTTATCGGGGTTGACGATACCGTTGGGACGATTTGCTGAACAGCTCCGGGACCAACAACGCTGAAAGCCGTAACGCCGGTGCTAGCAGTGGTGTGAGCAACCCCAGCCGTGACAACACCGGGTGTAGCAGATTCAACTTCTACAAACCCATCTAAGGAAGGAGAAGTAGCCGAAGCCTCGTCAACCGGTGTTGCAGGTGCGTCATCGGTAGGTATGAGATCAGGCCCAGCATTTCCTTGTAAGCCTAAATTTGCGGGAGCGGGAACACCATTCACAAGAGTTACTAACGCAGAAGTACTGCTTGGTGGTTGTGGCAGCGCTGGGGGAGGAGGAATATTTTGCCCAGGATTGGTATTTGTACCCCCAGGGAGCTTGTTAATTTTCCTCCGGCGTCTTCCCTCCTCTAAATCGACAATCCTGCCCACTACAATTCCAAGGGCCCCACCTACAGCAGATTGGACAAGCGGCAAAGTTTCGCCATGAGGTGCCTCATCTAAATCTCTTATCCATCTTCCACCCGGCGGGACATGATGCGCCAAACCCAGACGCAACTCTCGAAGTTTGTCGACAGATTTTTCCACTGCATAACTAACCTCCTCGAGATACTGCATCTCGTCAATATCCAGAACGCTAAGGCTTCTCAACCCCTCGAATCCTTTGAAGGTGGGAGTTTCAACCCTTCGACTAGGATCTTGAGAGGTCGGTGGAGTGGTCTCAGTATTATCGTGAAACCTCACATGGACGTTCTTCAGAGTCCCGTTAAGGTCATGAAGAGCTTTGAAAACGTCACGCAACACCCCGGTCGGCATATCCCAAGAGAACGTCTCCAGCGCTATCATTCTTGTGATTGCCAAACACACTAAAGTTCCAAGCATCTTGCCCCCTTCCTTGTTGATGTTGTACTCTCCCACCCAATCGCCCGGCCCATTCCCTAAAGAGAACTTCTTGACCCATCGGGCATAATCATTGCCTCTGCGCCCGGAGGCAGTGAGAGTTGCAAGCCCATAAGTCAATGCATCGACGCCCGTTCGGTCTCCGGGAGTAGAGACATCGGGCCAAACAATATCAAAACGTGAGTATATGTGGGGTATCGAAAGAGCATGTAAACATCGACAGGTAAGCGATAGGTTAGTCAAATCGTTCGTGTGATTAACCTACGCAAATGTCAGAAATCCCGCGAGTCAAATAGGCGAGCGTAGGTGTAAAAAGAGCAATTTATGGAAGGGGAAGAGGCAAATAGAGATATTCCGTACAACAGGCCTCCACCCAGGTGAACACAACAGAAACCTAAAACCTACCTCCTTTACAATATCTTTCAGCACATCCACCGGTAACTCAACCAATGTCAAAGGCGCTCGTTTGGTTGTAGGGGTTGAACTGGCCCCACAGAGCACCCGAGCCTCCTGACCCCGACTGGCACCGCGATCTGAGTTTTCCAGATCCCTGATTTTTCCATTGGCTATATTCCGCTCCTTCTCATTCTCCTTGTTCCCCCCATCCCCACTCTTCTTCGAGTCCTGTCCAGGTGAGATCTTCACCCCCTCTTTGTCCTTACCGTTAAAGACACTAGGCTTACTAACTTCTTCATCTTCGTGCTCACCCTCCTCTATGAACTCCAGATCTTCATCGGTATCTAGGCGTCCGTCGACATCTTCATCAAGAAAGCAACCTTGCGGCGAAGAGGTGACGGGATTGGCTGTTAGGGTGGAAAGAGAGTCCACTAGATCGGCCATGGTTGCCAACTGGATGTATCTCCCGGGGGGAGGGGGGGTTTCCTCTTCTCAAAATCCTAAGCGAGGATGAAGGCTGGAGGACAGGATAAGGCTGTAAGTAGGAGAACGAGGGATAAAGCCGGGGTTGTGGAAAGGTGAATGTGATGAGTTAGGGAGTAGGGGTGCAGGAAGCCAATAGCAGCGGGGCCGGCGACAAAAATTTGACCGGGAAGCTGAAGGTTCGTGAGGAAGAGAGGGGCAGAAGGGTAGGAGAGCAACGTACGGGGTTAAGAAATTAGCGACAACGGGGAGGCGGAAGCAGGAAATAACGAGATAACTAGTGCAATAACTTTCTCCCCAGTAACAAACACCAAGCAAGAAAGCCGCCGTGAATCCGCGGGCGTAGAATAAGTAGGCTACGAAGGAAGAAGAGGCTTAACAGGATGGTGGGAAAGTGTGAGTGGAGGGAGTCGAAGGAGAAGGTCGGTGAGGTGATGGGGGGAGAGTTGGTTGCAAGTTGAGACAATCTTGCTTGTTTCTATGTTTAAAAGGAGGGACTTGGGTTGCGGTTAGCGGTACGGTAGTTTCCTGGGATCAACTTGCTCTTATGGACGATGGCTTTGCTAGGTTACTGTAAGTTGACGGGTAGCGCGAGCTTCTCATCGTGAGCTAAAGGATCACTCACAGAGCAAGGGAGTTATTATAATTTTCCTCCTTCCCCTCCTTTGGCACGAGTATAAGTTATTCTACCGTGTTAGAGCTTCCGAGAAAAATTAATGAACATAAATACGCAAAATCAACACACAAAAATACTGCATAGGCAAATAGGCCCTAGTTCCCATACTTGCCCGGCACCCTATCAAACAAGATCGAAGACGCATAGAAGGCTGGGAGGACAAGGGTCATTGGTCCCTCCAGCCTCATCGACCATGGCGCTGTAGGGTACGGTACCGTACTCGAGCAACTTCCTTCCCTTTCGCCCTGCCCAAGAGTCTGGAGTATCATATCATACTTGTATGATATGGCATTGCCTACCACCTGCCAGGCACAGCTCACTTACTCGCCCACTGCCTTGCTGCCAACTCCGCATTCTAATACTACCCTCGCCCTGTTTTATTCCCGGGAAGTGCTCGAGTACTGTACGGTAGGGTGCGAGCAGAGAATAAATTCCAACCCTCTCCACCTATTCCAACCCTATCACCCATTACCACCCGCCATCCAACCCAATTGAATATTTTCCATGGCTAGCCGTGTAATTAGTGGTAACTCCCACGTTGACAGGCCATCATTCCCGACCCACCAATGGCTCCCCCGATGACCTCGAGCATGGAATTTCTCATGCCACTCTCGCAGTAATTGCTTTTCCAGACAAATCGCACAAAACAAACCGACAACACCATTACCCTTACAGATACAGAACAAGCCCTACAAAGCCCCACGCAGAGACTCCAATTCAAGCATAAAACTTATTACATTTAGTCTCAGAATGGATCCCCCCACACTGAAGCCCGCAATACCTGGCCGAACATTTCTGACACTTGTATTTGCCCCAATAGCCGCAAATCTCGCAGAACACCCTCTTTGGCCTTGCTGATGGTCTGGAGGCGGAGGCGGCATATCCAAGCGGTTGTCCAGGGTCCTGAGTGTTGATAAGGCCTTCCTTCAAAGCCCCGTCAAAATCCATTCCGTCTTCCTCTTCCACGCGTTGTCGATGCACTGCAGAAGGGGTAGGATGGAGAGCTTCTTCATCGGCAAGATGGTTCGCAAATGTCTTTTGAGAGGCCAATATTCGACGGACGTTCTGTGACTTATTCCGGGAGGAAGCTTTTAAGTAATCATCAGCTACTCTAAGCCAAGCCGTAGTTATCATAGAAAGAATACTCACACCTCCCCGTTACACCGCTCCTTCCAACGACTATCGTAGCATCTCTATAGTTGTCCCTCTCGAGATCGAGGATCCGACTGTTTATCTGCCTTTGCCTGGCAGCGCTGTTTTCTATGTTGTTCGTGCGTTTAGCACGCGGTGCCCTAGGCGTGTTGCTAGGCAGAGAGTTTGTATGGGCTAGGGCTGGGGGTAGATTCGAGTAAGTCCAGTTCGCACCGCTGCTTGTTGAGGTATTAGGAAGGACTTGGATTGTTGGCATTGCTAATGGTGGGAGTGGCAGGAGAAGAAAAAAGAAGGCGGCTCTGGTGAGTTATGATACTACGGGTAGTAATGTACTCGCACTATCATATGGGGCAATCGGTCTTGGCACAAGAGCAGTGGCAACCATGATGCCAAGATCTTTGTATCAATGCATCGGATAAATGCGATTATTCAGGCAATCCTGATTTCTCACGTGAAGCGTTCATCGCTACCCGACGCCCGGGGGATCCTCTACGATAGAACATAGTACCGCTCAGGTATCGCGCTTGCGAAATTTCTGTATTATCGGGAACAGATCTTACTATACTATTTCGATTTCATCTCAGAGTCAAAAGTGGACTGTTCGTCAACTCAGCCGCCATCTCGTGGCGTGCGCGCGCGAATTTCACAAGTTCCCGAACACCTAGTCACCTAGTCACTCGAGTAGACTACAATAGATGCTCGAAAAGCTCAGAGCCTGGGCGCCAAGGTGTCCGGATATATTTGAAATTCGCGAGCAGTTCAACCCGACTCATGCCCCTCACTACCGATACGACCGATTATTGGTCTTTACTTTCCTTTGTTTTGGTGTCTACTGCTGGTCCTCTTCTCTTTTGCTTGCCTTTTTTCAATGCTGGGGGAGGATTGCGCAGCTGGTCCCAGACCAGATTGGCGAAAAAAAGTATCGCAACCCAGCGGGTCGGCACTTCTCAATAGGGGAAAACGTTTTGGCAAAAGGAGATAGCGAAATAGATATAATGATACTATCTTAAAAACACAACGCTTTGAAGCAATTGCCAGTAAGCATGGCTTCCATGGGCCTTTTATACAATCCTTCTGTCCCTGCTATCAATCCATTTTCTCGAGTACGGTATACACCCTACTTTTCATTGAAAAGTTTTGAGTGACGCAAGCTATTTATCTAAGAATTTTTTAACTTTTAAAGAAAATTTAATCCTTCTCGCCCAATTTCCGGGAGTAATTCTGAATGATGATTGCCAGTTGTAGATTTATCACTATATCGGCGGAGGTAAACGTTGGTAGGTAACTTATTCTATGGAACATCTGTGACACGCTGCTATACAGTACTCTACTGCAATGTACAGTACTGTACAGTATCATACCTGTATTCAAAAGGTTTTCCCCGGTTCTATAGCCTACAACGCTTTGAGCCCCGGCCTTGCACCTATATCAATGCACTCGATTTACTCGTACAGTAGCAAAAAACAAAGATCGGGGGCCAGGGATAACCCGTTGTGCAAATTCTATCACGTCAGCATAAGAGAGACCCTCCTCGCGCCCGAGTACCGGTAGATGAGCACACCATTCGAGGATCCTCATTCCATTCTACTACCAGAGGGGGCCCGCCCAATCTGATACTATTATACCAGTATTCCACTCTAAACAAATTTTCTATCATTTCGAAGATCATAAGTTCTGTCATATGACCCGAACTTTTTATTTTCTTCTTCCCGGGGATTGTGTGTGCCAGAATTCAATTTTTCGTGTCCAGTCCCGGAGTCCCGAATAAATGATTGACTGCATAAAGTTGGTATGATCATACGGTATCAACCCGTTATAGCCAAAACCCCAAACCCTAGTTTATCCCGCCACAAGCCTGCTCTCGTAATTTTTTCAGACTCATCTCTTACTCACCAATCCCCTCCAACCCCCCTACCGGTACCGCACAACCATCAACCTTTCACTCCCCCCCGCCGCTACAGAATATCCAATTTATCACCGCAGTCATGGCTGAAACTGAGGTCAGTTTTTAATCATCTTCTGAGCTATTGTGTGGTTTCTCTAGCCCGTACTCACATTTAATAGGAAACTCCAGTGTTCGACCCCTCGCTCAAGAAGAAGCCCAGAAAGTCGGTTGCTTTCGAGGCTGAAAATGGAGATGAAGTTAACGGAGCAGGGAAGGATAATGCTGAGCCTCAGGGCTTAGGTTCGTGCGCTCTGTTTGCTCTATCCTCGTCTTACTGTCGCCGGTTATATCTTGTATCACTCTTGTCTGTTTGTCGGAGGGATGGTATATGCGTAGTGTCATGTGGCTAACGAAACGGAAACTGTAGAGACTGGAGAAGGCGGAGAAGGAAAAGAGAGTGAGGAGGGCACTGCCGAAATGTTCAAGGGCAAGAAGAAGAAGAAGCCCAAGAAGGCCGATGGCGACGATGAAGCTCCAGGAGAAGTCGCCGAGTTCGACCCCACAGCACTGAAAAGGAAGAAGAAGAAGAAGCCTTCCAAAGAGAAGGCTGAGGGTGATTCTTTTGACGCGGCCTTGGCCGAGGCTGGTGTTGTTCCTCGGGGCGAGGGCGAAGAAGGTGCCGAGGATGCTGAGCCAGCCCTCCCGGAAGACACCGGGGATCTCCTCCTTGGGACCGGGGTCTGGAACGCTGCCTCCACTGTCGACCTCACCTATCCTCTGCTTTTGACTCGATTTTTCACTCTACTACGCTCTCAGCATCCCGATCTTGCTGGTGATGGCAGGAGGAGTTATAAAATCCCCCCACCGCAAGTGCTTAGGGAAGGTAATAAAAAGACAATTTTTGCGAATATCAGCGATATTTGCAAGAGGATGAAGAGGTTCGACGAGCACGTTACTCAGTTCTTATTTGCCGAGTTGGGTACGTCTGGTTCAGTCGATGGTAGCAAGAGATTGGTCATTAGGGGCAAATTCCAACAAAAGCAGTTGGAAAACGTTCTTAGGCGTTACATCTGTACGAACGCTGCTTTCCCCTACTAAGCTTGATACATAAATGCTAACAGATTTTGTCGCAGTGGAATACGTTACCTGCAGAACTTGCAAATCCCCTGATACAGATCTCAAGAAGGGAGAAAACCGTCTTTTCTTCGTTACCTGCAATAGTTGTGGATCCCGACGTTCCGTTGCGTACGTTCTCCCCTCTCCCCCCTACTTATGCCCATTACTAACGCCCCAAATAGTGCTATCAAGACCGGTTTCCAAGCTACCGTCGGTAAGAGACGCAGGCAGCAAACCTAATTCTCCTCCAATCTCTCTCAAAAAAGTAAAAATACGTCGTTGAAGGATGGGGCATGCGTGTATTTGTTCTAGCTGTTGGATAGTATCGGAAACGGGTAGGAGGCAGGAAGAGGGGGAGAAGGGGGGGTGGAGTCTTGGCTGCGTTAGTCTCTGGGCTCTTGAACTTCGGGAATTATTTCTTTACTATAGTCGATACTAGTGGTTACGGAATGACGAGATAATGTCTTCATTTTGTTTTTCCTCTCCCTTTTTTCATTCTTCGCTTGTCTGTGAATATGGGAGCACGGTGGAGAGGGGGTGTAAGTGGGAAGTGGAAAAATGCGTATACAATACTATTAGAGGGGGAGATGTATGGTGGGAGGCGTCTATAACGTGGACCACTGAAATTACGAAATGTAATGCTTTATGTAATCGGGGTCTAAGGTATTTCATAACAAATTTTAAAATTTTTTTAGAGGTATGGGTCCGAGTCTGGTTGCAACACAAAATCTCAATAATGGTGTTTTGGGTGAAATTGTTATTCTAAAATAAGGTGTCTGATTCGCAAGAAATTGCAATAATCAAATCGCTATAATAAGGCCAACTGCAGGTATTTAAAAGAATGACTTGAGCTTGTTCTTTACAAAGTTACATACAGGTACTAATAAAATACCTCTTAAATAGTATTGAAAGCATTACAGTTATATCACCACTGCACCCTCAATAAGTGATACTAAAAAATTACAATTAAAGCAAATAGATATTCAAGCTTAGACACTAATTTTAAATTTTTAAAAATTTCAATATAATTATTTCTATTTATTTCTTTTCATGGTATTTTAAAATCAATTTTTCTAAATAAACTATACTATCTTTCTAGTACCTATCTATCTAGATATTAATCAAGCAGTTTCTCAAGATAATTATCCATATAAATTATAATATCTTATAACAGTAGTTTGAAAATAATACTGATGCTTTGTAGTTATAATATAATACTTTAGAAAATAGATGGAAAATAAATATATTAAAACAGGCATAAAACCTGCTATTAAAAAAAAAAAAAAACTAAAAAAAAAACTAGAAGCATTACTTGTTACTTATCCTATCTACTACTTGTATTCTGAAGATGAATATATTGACTTCTATAGATTTTATGGATTTACTTATATCGATATTTCTTTTGAATTTTGCTTAATATTTCACATAAAATATATTGTATCCCCACAGTATTTCAAAATATTTTTCGACTGGGTCATCCGTAAAGCTATTTTATCCTCCCATACATCCCGCTGGCAGAATAAAATGGCTATCATACCTTGTACCGCATCCCAATTGTGATGCTGTTTTGAAATACCAAGGGAGCCCAGGTTTTTCTTATTTACTTCATTTGTTTCTTCTTTTTCATAACATTTAGTTGCCAATCAGCCTTCAGATGGATGCTATATGCAAGTGGCATGGTAGCTGTCGCAAACTTGCTTGACTATTCCCTAAGTCATTAGGCTCATTTCTAGTCTCCCCAGATTCCGTAATGCAGTGCACAATCTCATATGAGCGATGTGACTTGAACTTCACAACCCTAAACTTGGAGTTTGCTATGAAATACTTCTAACCCTGATTACATAGAGCATTACATCTCGCAACGCTAGTGGTTCGTGTTATAGATGCCTCCTACCATTTCTAAAACCATGGCCGCTTTTCTCATTTTTCTGATTTTTCCTTTAGATCTACCCCCTAGCGCCGTCCATGGCTCCATTTGGGGCTTTCCTCACTTCTGTAATCTTATGAGTTCGGCAGAACAAAACTTCGATGGAGGGTATGTGCTACATACAACGCCTTTTGAGGGGAAAAAGAAAGACAGTCATAATTTATCCCTTCCTGTCCCCAGCCATCTTTCCTCAGCAAGAATCATATATGTGCGAAGCAACGTAAGGCAAGTGAGTAGATTAGATTGCATCGAACTCAAAGTAGCAATAAGCCGAATACTCAGTGTCACCCAGCATCGCGGCCCCAAGATCTCCGACATCGTCTTTGATATTCCCATTTTTGTCTCTGCCGAAGGCGTTCCCGCCGAGGTAGTTATAAGCAGAGTCTAACTGGGCCTTTATCTTTTTTGCATGCTTGGCTTTTGTCTGTTCCCGCCATCAATGCTTTGACGATCCCACGGGGGACGAGGGGAGACAAACCTGGATAATAGCGCTAACAAACTCCAATGGCAACCCATACCTCAGCACGCTCTCAACGAAAACCCTAAGCGCCTTAACATGCACCCAAGCCTGAAACAAATCGCTGTACCCGGTCCTCGCCAATCTCAAAGTCTCGCCGGACAGTCTCCGCTCATGAGCTTCGACGTCCCTAGCTTCCCTCTCGTCCTCCTCCGCTGCCCCTTCACTCCATGTGAACTCCCGGGGCGTGAACTTGGCGGCGCGAGCCTTGTTGGCGAATTCCACGTTGTGCTTCTTGAAGACGACGCAGCTGTACAGGATGTACTCCGAGTCGCGCTGGATCTCGCGCGAGGATCGGGGGACCACCATTGGCGAGAGGGTTTCGTAGGACTTGAGCCAGTCGCGCTCGAGTTGTTTCGGGACGGCGATTAATTGCGTTTGGAGGTATTCGCTTGGCGGCACGAAGTCGGATTGCTTGAGGATGGGGGCGAGGGATTTGGTCGAGAGGTTACCGCTGGATGGGGGTGTTAGTAGGTTTTGGTGGGAGAGCGGGGAGGGAGAGGAACGTTTGCTTTCGTTGGACGGAAACTAAGTTTGATTTGACTTGCTGATAGGCGGAGTATTTGGTTTTGATGTCGTTGTCCAGCGAGATTACTTCCTATCTAGGCGGTTAGCTTACCCTCGAGCTCCCGGATAACGTCCGAAGCGCACCTTCTGTAAGGAATCCAACAATTGGGCAATCGACTTATCACTCCTGTATTTGATCTTGTTCCACGAGAATCCCTGCAAGTAATCCCCCACCGGTTCTGCCATCATTAGCTCACGCTTCAGTCAGTGAAGAAGTCAAAAACCCACTATCATTTACAGTCTTATGTCCCTGAGCATTCCCCTCCCCAACCGTACTCCTGAGGACGTCCACAACCTTCGCTACGGCACCTTCAACGTTGGCGTCAAGTTTTTCAAGTTCGTCCGCCTGTAGCACTAATGCGTCCAACGTGCCAATCTTGAAACCGGGGATGGGGAACCGGTAGATCGATGCATTGTTTAGCGAGGAAGATATCGCGCCGGTTAGGGCTGTGAAGGCGTCTTCCGGGTCATTACTGCGCGCGACAGAAGAGGGGAGGGCTAGGAGGAGGTATTTCGAGCCTGACATGATTTGTAGTGGTGATGTTGTTGGGGGATTATTTGAAGGGAGGTGGGCAGTTCAGTTCGTGGGAGTTTGGTGGGATGTGAGCGTCATCGTGGCTTGGCGGATGGATGTTGCTGTCCGGCGCGGGGTTGTTTTGAACGAACGAGCGTATGATACGAGGTGGCACCCACCGATGGGACCGAGAATGTGCCAAAAGAATTTCCGAGCTTGTGAGTGATGGGTTGTGGAGTACGTACTGGCAGTCTATGATACTTGTAGTATATTATAGATAGTTAGTAGTATAATAATAATATTATTATATTAATTTAATCATATTATTATAGCTTGTGAGGAGAATGCCATTTGGCGGCTTTTATATGATTTTGTATTATCATACCCTGTTCTTTGAGGTCCTATTTTCAATGGGGAATTCCTTTCCATTAAGTTCCTATAATTAAAATTTACTATATATGGAGTATCCAATACTTCTAGATTAATATAGCCTTTACAGGTATTAAACCTACTAGTATAAGATTTAATAGTTAACCTTTACTAATTGTATTCTAATTAACATATATGAAAGTGGATTTCTGTGTATTATTTGCTGGTAATGAATGATTTCAGAGTCATATAATGTACTTTAGACTACCTTACAAGCTACTTTTTTTAGTATACTACTTCTGTACTATCTGTAGTACATTATTGTAAACTCTTGCTAATTTAGTTTACTTTATATTATTAGAAAAAACTCATTAAATACTTGAGGATCTTGATTATAATAGTACTGGTAATTTTTTACTATTTAACTTTTAAATAAGCCAAGGCTAAAAATATAATTATTAGTTATCTTATATATTGTATTATACATTTAATATCTTATATAAATGTAAAAAAAATTTTATACTTATAATATACTATACTCTTAGGTTAAAAGTATTATCTTATACTCTGTTTCCTGTAAAAGTTTGTATATTTATTAGCTGAAAATAATAATAAAGAAATTCATTAAATATTATTTGAAGAGTAGATATTTATAAACAAATCTTTTTATAATTTTTCTTTATTTTCTTTATTTATCCTATAAGGCCAGTACCTATTCTAATACTATAGATGAGATGAAATATTATGTCTCTATAATATTATAAAGTTGGCTAACTTTAATAAGGATGTTCATTCAGTCATAGTATATGTAAATAAATTTAGGTACTACTTTTACGAAAATGAAAATTTTGTTAAATCAATTAAATGATAAGATAATTCTTGTAAAAACACAAGTATATAAATTTTCTATTAGTCTTTTCAATATTTTATTATCATACATAGAAATAGGTTAGTTAATTACTCCTATGTAGGCACTTTTTAGTTGAGTTTTAGAAAGTAGAATAATGCTTTTAAGAGGTGATTTTAATATATATAATTTTTCTCCCTTTTAGTAATAGAGTAATAATACTAGTAATAAATTTTTATTATAATTATTATATTTTCCTGATTTTATATTTTTAGAGTTTTAATATATCATGCTATTTTGAAACTACTTGATATATAGGTTTATAGTTTTCGATTTACTGACTATTTTAAGACAACTTTTTTTATTTAAACTTGTATTTTTAATAATAGTATGATACTATATTTAATCTGTTTTACTTGATTGGAGAATAATTTTATTTTAAAGTTTAAGAAGTGATAATAATATTATTATAATAGAGAAAAATAATTTCTTATACTTAAAATAATATTATTATTGCTAGAAGTATTTACTAATTTTAATATCATATTTTATACTAATTAGTAGAATAAAATACTTTTTTGAAAAGTAGAACTATTAGAGATAATAGTTATTGAAATTTAAAAAAATTATTAGTAATTACTAATACTTATAATATTATCATATGGGTGTATTTATATAATGTTCCTAAGTCCTCATTAGTATATAGTAATGGGTAAAAATACCTTTCTTATATCTATCTTCTTAGGATAGTTCTTAGGCCCCTTGACCTATATTATCAATACTTGATTAGGTAATGCCTATCATAGTAAACATATGAGATACTGGCCTTAGACTCATGAGAAATGTAAAGGATAAAGAGTGTGAGGATGTTTTATTCTTATAAAGTAATAAGTAAGGAAATTACTTAAAACAAAGGGTGAAGAGTGTATCCTCCACAGGTGTACTAGCCTCCTTATATAGTACTCTCCTTGTAAACCCTAACC